CAGTATCGACTTTTTTTCCCCACACGTCACACGCTTTACAATATGAACTTTTTATCACAATGTCGATGACTTTTCCAGAGTAATAGCCGATCAAGGATGAAACTCCATACAACGAGCTGAATCCACGTTTCTGCCAAGTGCCGACACCTGATACTGTCAGATCGCGTGTATTTTTGTCATTACTTTCTATACAAGTTTCATCAATTTCTTCTTGTACCGCTTTCTTCAAAAGCTTGTCTGACACTGCTTTCACGGATACGCATATGTTTTTTACAATTGCGTCGTACGAACATTGTCCAATAAATGGTGGCAGATCCATGAAACCACAAAATTTTGTACATCCTCGTAGGCCGATCCCTAGTATTCGCATGATAAAAATAAATCGGCGATTGATTTCGTACGCTTTACTAATTAAAGGGCTCGAATTTATGTATAGTGGCGGACACTTGTCACAAATCAAAACAAGTTTGAAACCAAGTCCTCGTTCACTCGCTGTTTCAAATTTAATATTTTCGTTACACTGTTTACACTTTACAGCATTTGAAATAGCCGAAAACGCGGTCACAAATTCGATAGGCCAATATGCGATATCCTGCAATTGCACTTTTCGGAACAAAGATTTCCTTTTGACTTTTTTTTTTCGCCGACGCACTGAAACTTTCCTCGCTGGATTCTGTCAATTTCGGATTGAAAGATTGCTTCCTCTTTCTTGGTCTCGACTTGTATGCTTTTGAAGTACTTCTTGTCGACCGCGATACTTTATGCGAATATATTTTTTCAAAATTATGTACGAAAAAAGAAAATGAAAGATAATCGTGAACTGTTACGTTTTACGGCGAAACTCGTACTGAAAATAGTTTACAAAGGTCTGTACACGCGTACAAACACGTATACTATATACACTTAATCCGTGTGAAACAACCTAACTTCCGCGCGGATCAGCTCGTCGCAAATTTCACTAGTCGCAAAAGAGGTTCGCACGGGAAAAGAGAATGCAGAAACAAATAATCAAATTCGACATTTAAAGACAAGAGACAGAAACGTTTATTTTGTATGATACATGTGACGTACAGGTATCGGTGTGCGTGTTCGTGTAGTTTTACAAGTATAATTGTGTATGTGTTTGTAGTGTACGCAGGTGTGTATATATCGACGAGACGGCAGACAGACGGGACGAATACAATGAAAACGAAAGACGCGGACAGAAAAACAGCAAATATCAATTACGGCGCGAGTACTATGAAAAACGCGTGGGGATCTCCGAATCCCAAGACGGACGCGAGGCGCGGTCGGCGGTATAGCGATACTAATACGCGTACGCGAAGTATACGCCAGCGGCGGATGACGGTCGCGGCGCGGATAACGCGATGGGCGTTCCCTCTACGCAATGAGGGACGCTTCGCGGAATGTAAAAGGCACGGATACACTAACGACCGACTGCCAAGAACGCTTGGCGGAGGCAAAGAACACTTCACCCCCTTTTCTCGTCATAATGCCAGCGGATCAGGATATCTGGTGATCGACTGTCAAGAACTCTTGACGGAGACCAAGAACACTTGATCCCCTTTTCGCGTCGTATCACTGGAGCTAGGATCGGAGCGGAATTCGTAACGGAGCGGCGGTTAGGATAGAAGAGAGCTCTTGGAGCAATAATTACGCGTTTTATACTAATTATTGCTCCCGCTCGTATTATTCCGGTCTTTTTCGGTGTCGCTCGGCGGTCGGTAATCCCTGCGGAGGGGGATTGACAATCGGCGATATTCGGTCGCGTTCGGTCGTAGCGGCGGTGAGCGCGAAGCGCAGATCGTTCGGCGATCTTCGGACGCGTTCGGTCGGAGCGGCGATAGCTACTGTCGACGGCGGTAATTCTAATATCGCGAAATATGTGACGCTCCTGACGGCTGGTATCGTCGGAACGATGCATTGCGGAGTGCATCGTTACAAAACTAACGCGATTATAAACAAACTCCTTCCACCTGGAGGGATGATTATTTAACCATGTATAAGTGATCAATGATGAGTTGAACACATTACGATCGGTTGATTCTTTAAGTCCAATACAGAGAGAAGATGGAAAACTAGTTTGGTCAGCGAAACGGCTCCACACAATTCAAGCCTTGGAATCGTAAGGCGTTTTAACGGTGCAACTTTTGTTTTAGAGGTTACGAAATTTACATTGATACTCCCTTCAGGTGTGGTAATTCGGACATAAACAACCGCAGCCATTGCTTTTTTTGAGGTGTCAGAGGATCCATGTATTTCGATGCGATTCTCGCCTGAAAAGCTTATCCACCGAGGTATCGTAATCTGGGGGGTATCTTGAAGATTTTTTATAAAATTATGCCATCTACTTGTGAAATGATAAGGTAATGGATCGTCCCAACCTAGTTTTATTGCCCACAACTCTTGGATAAGGATTTTCGCGATGATAATAATCGGTGATAAGAAACCAAGGGGGTCAAACAACTTAGCAAGAGTTGAGAGTGCCTTTCTTTTCGTAATCTCACCCTCATTTTGACAAATAAACGTAAATTGAAATACGTCGTCTGTTGGTTGCCACTGAAGTCCTAGAGCCTGAACAATAGGATTATTGTCTCTGTCAATAGACACTGACGGAATCTGATTGTTACGTCCGGGCGAGTAGCGCTACGCCTAGACGCAGGGCGGGGTGCCCGTTTTGCTAAAACAATTAATCTGCGCTACGTGGTAGCGCGAATCTGGCGGGGGCGCGAATATCGCCAACCGTACCCCTCGTCCCACGGATAGGATCTCGTTGCTCGTAATAGTGAGTTTGGCCTTTATAACCTCGGCGGGCTTGCTAGCTTCTTCTATTTTTGAGCGCTCGCGGCGAAGAGCATCAGTTTTTCGCACGCAGTGTTTGCCCCGCACCCAACGCGCTCCAGGCTCGTACGCCGCTAGGTTCCCGGGTACCGGGTGATACACCGGGACCTCCCGGTGGATCTAATTGGGATCGAGGACGGCGCGCGGGTCGAACTCGGCGCCCGTTTTGTACTCCCTCACTAGTTGTTTGTACGCGACCCTGCGGCCCGCTCCTTTTTTACTCGGCATATCTCTCCTCCTGCAACCGATTCCATTTTTAATATTTTCCCCAGTTAATGAGGGCGGGAGCACTTAACTTGCACTGGTGACACCTTCAGCGCAACACTACCCCTGACGGAAGTCGCGAACAGCCGCGGAGGCGTCCCCAGAGGAGCGAGGGGAGGCTTCTTTTGGCGATAAAGCCCCTAGAAACCCCGCTCCGTAGGCGGCCGCAGTTTCTTAAAAACTTGCGGCGGCCCTTCCAAGGAAGCCCCCGATATCGCGGTCACACAGTGCTCCGACCCTCCGATTACTATTTTTATACCCACACTGAAAGACGGCACAAAAACGATCACAAAACACTTAGGCACTTCACTTTATATAAAAGAAGAAGGATAAAAGAAGAAAAAAAAAAGAAAGATTCCGGGATGAAAACAACTATAATTAATCTTTCATTATATATACAAGATAGATATTATATTTAGTTTTATAAGGAAATGAAACAATGCGAGCAGTGAAGGCGATTGACAACAAAAAAAATGAATTATAAGTATATAAAGTAATAATTACAATTATAACAATATTCGCGAATCGTGAGCTTTAACAATAATCTGAGCGCGATACTACTAGAAATGCTAACAGAACTATATATATATTATTAAGTGCTAGAGATTATTCAAGAACGAAGTTAGAACTCAAAGAAGATAAACGAAGTGGTACTTTTATGTTCGAAAAACGAAGTGCGCTGCGTTCTTAGCGGACACGGTTTATATACAAATCAAGGGGTGATCCCCGCGAGGACAAGGGGGATTGTCCTTTCCGGAAATTGTATCATGAATTTCTGTTTCCAGAATTGTCTGGAAGATTCTCGGAACTTCTGTTTATGTCAAATGGTGATGCTGAGCGGTAAGGGGAATTGACCCCTCAATGTGTAACTTATTTATGATATTATTCTAGATCCTTCTATTAGTTAGTTTCTGTAAATTTTCAGTTATTAGGAATTAATTTAAAAAGGTCACACATCGATGGGCACAACCCCCGCAAGGCACAACACTGCGCTGCAATTTCTGCATTTGATTTAGAATTTACTGAAACGGCAGCTCACCGAAACGGTGGCCTTAGTTTTTATGCACGCAGTTGTGCCTAATGTATCGGCTCTTTGTGCGGGCTCGATATGCCTCGTCGCTTTTACTCTTTATTTATTTAAGAGGATTTTATCTATTTAAATTAAGATACTTAAGCGAAGTAATTGGTGGTTGTTGCTACTATTTTATTTATCAGGTTGATATTGTTTTTATGGCAATTTTGATTACTGGTTTTGGATAAACAATATTTATCTTTGTATATTTAACATTGGTGCTTTATTTTGCACTAGTATATAGTTTTTATGTTTATCCAAATTACATTACCTGATTACGTGCTGTTTTATTTGTTTTTACTTTTAATTCGCGCAAGTAACTTAGTTTACTTTTATCACGCGCTTATCGCTTATAGTGGAGATCTTAGAGGTCCTTTTATTATGCTTTCGCGTATTATTTGACCGTAATAATCGGCGCCAAGGAGGATATCGATTGGATTCGATAAAAAATACTCAGGATCTGCAAGTTGTAACCCTTCTAAATGGGGTGAATTTTCTTTTGCTGAGATAGATGGTATGGATGATGTTTCGGGAGAATATGAGCAGAAACTGAGCATTTAAAAGATGAGTTAAAATGTGGCTTTAATTGAAAAGAAGTCATACCCCTTGTTTTATTTGACCTTTGACCACCTATTCCAAAAAGGGGGATCTGAGACTTAGTATGGGATAACCGTAAACGTTGTACTAACCGCTCCGTTATTAATGAGATTTCTGATGATCCTTGATCAATTAAGATCCTTGCTTTGGAAGATTGTCTCTTTTGAGACTTAACTATAACAAGGGCTGTTGCCAACAAAACGCAGTGGGTATTACTCTTTTCTTGTCAAATGGAATGAAGAACCTGAGAGCCGCCTTTTAATTCCGAATGAGTATTAGATTCAACCTCAGTGGATTTTTCTGACTTTCCTGTGGATTCAGATTTTAAATGAGTAACCTTAGATTTTGCGGCGTCAAAGTTTCCGCGATGAAGTGTGACATGATGCTTTCCAGCACATTTTTTGCAATGAACTGACATACGACAATGAACCACTCTGTGAGGACCAAGACAATTATAGCATAAGTGATGTTTTCTCACAAGAGCAACTCGTTGTTGGACCGGTTTTGTTTTGTACTGCGGACAGTGGTATGGCCAATGAGGCTCCGAACAGAAAGGACAGGATTTTGAGCTCTCATCTTGGAATTTACCTTGAAAATGAGATTTTAAAGGAAGTTGAGTCGTTTGTAAAAGCTTACCTAATCGAGCTTTTTCGTAGTTTTGCAGTGTCAGTAATCGAGTGATTAAAAACTCCAGAAATTGTTTCCACGTAGGAAGTTCCCGTGAAGAGCCAATATGCTGTTCCCAAGCCTTTACAGATTCTGAATCTAGCCGTTGAATGACAGTAAAAATTAGAAAGTCGTCCCAAGTATCCACTGGTCTCCTAAGAGTTTCCAGTGATCTATATATTTGTGTGACAGTAGTATAAAGTTTTTCTAGATCCGCAGCAGATTCTTTCATGATGCGTTTCAGATTGAATAGGGAACCTAAAGCTGCGTTAACTAGAAGACACACACACACACATACACGCACGCACGCACGCGCGCACACACACACACACACACACACACACACACACACACA